TATCCAAATTCTGTGCCTTGACATTTCAGAAACTGTATTATTTAGTAGCACTCGATTCCTGCATCTCTGCTTGCCCACCCTGTAAAATAAAGGCATTAGGGAAACATTATAGGGTCAGTGGCAATAGTTCTAAGCTGGTATTCTGCTTCCTTCCAAATTAAACCATTTATTTCATTCAAAAAAGGAAGAGAATAAAGGGAGTCAGTTGGAAAGAACACCTACTTATCTAAACCGTTACAAAGTATTTTTCATTTCAGGATATGCTGAAGCATTGTAAGATAAAATTAAGCCTAAAACTCCTGATAGCTAGTTTATTGTTAAAATGACCTAGTAGCACAGAAAGGAATATTACTTAGCCATAAGAAGGGATGAAATAGCACCATTTGCAAACAACATGGATGGAGCTGAGACTATTATGCTAAAACAAATGTCAGAAAAAGCTAAGAACTATACGATTTCACTCATATGTGGGACATAAAACTGAAATTTGTGAACACAAACAGCAGTGTGGTGATTGCTAGAGGGAAGGGGGTCCTAATATAAGGCATCAGGAGAATATTTGACTTGGGGGGGGGGCACAATGTACAGATCTTGTAACATAGAAACCCACACCTGAAACCTATATGTTCATGTTGACCAATGTCACTCCAATCAATTTAATTAATACGTTTTAAAATATATACAAAACTAAACAAAAACAAAACCAAAAGAACCACTTAGTAGCAAAGAAATACTCATCTCCCTCTCTCCTGTCCTTTTCCTCACCTCCATCATAATTTGGTGTAGGATGTGTGTGTATGTATATGTATGTTTATGTGTGTGTATATGTGTACTAATATGTGTATGTGCATGTGTATGTGTACGTGTATGCGTGGGAGGGTATACTACAGAAAGGCTTTTTGTACAAGTTTCTTTTTTAAAAATTCTTTATTGTTTAAAGTACTACACATACTATTACATATGTCTCCTTTTTCCCCCAGTGACCTCTTCCCGGTCACCCCCTTACTCCTACCTGCCCTCACCCTCTTCACCCTGCTCACATGCCCTCACCCCCCTAGTGTCTGTGTTCATTGGTTATGCTGATATGCATGCATATAAGTCCTTTGATTGATCTCTTACCCCCCGCTTCCCTGACATTAAAACTAAATAAATAAATTGATGAACTAGAATAAATATAAAAAATAAATGTTCTGTGTCTGGGAGAGGCATCACAATGGTTAAAAATATACTGGCTTAAGATTATGACAGAGCTGGGTTTGAATCTTAGTTTCATCAGTTTCTAATTGCAGAGCACGAACAAGTCATTGCAATAAGCCTCAGTTTCATTTATAAAATAGACATACTAGTATTTACCTCACAGGTTGCAGTGAATATTATAAGATTAAGATTAGCTGTCTATACGTAAACAATGCCTGACACATAACTGAGGCTCCCTAAATAGATGCTATAGAGCTCGATGAGTGTGTGTGTGTGTGTGTGTGTGTGCAGCAACACTTTCAGTGCTGACTGCTTCTCGTTATTTAGAGATACAACATGCCGACATAGAACAGCTTCTTATACCACCATGTGGATATAGTTAAATGCAAGGGTCCGAGGGCTCTGAGGCACCTAGAGACTCCTGGACAGATCTACAGCATCTGAACAACCAAGGTCTGAAACAATCAAAGATTGAAAAAAGGTCTACTGTTCAGAACATCCTATAACGTAGACCTAACTTTAGTTAACACCTTTCTGGAGAATATTTAGACTGAAACATGTATCTTTTAATCACTAACAGGTTATTTTTTCCATGTTAACAGTTAACCCACAGAAAAGCACACTTTGCATCAGCAGTAATCCTCAATAGGCATGGCCGTCTTACCGTCTCCAAAACCGTATGATTCAGGTGGGGAAGTGAGAGGCCCCTAGAGTGGAGAGCTTAAGGAATACAGCTGATACCTTTTCTCAGCATCCTAAGATGTAATTTTCTTTTCACATTTTAACATCGCTGACTGAAATTAGAAATGTCTTATAATCAATGGTGGGTCTTAGTTTAATTGGCAGCATTTTTTATTTCTTAATGGAACATAAAATATTAGTGTGACTTGTAACTGATGAAGTCTTAGATTTGATGAAATATATTAAGTGGCTTGCATGAATCAAGATCAGATCTTGCCACAGACTTCTGAGGGGTTTCATTGGGTGGCCCTAAGGGCACTATCTGGGTGGACCCCCAGGGAACAGCAGAGCCCATGTCTGGCTACCACAAACCACTTGCTAGTGTTTAGTCACTTTTTTAAGATAAAAGAATATGCCTCAATTTAGTAACAATTTCAATAGAAAGAGTGTTAGATAGGTAGCAACTTTTTCAAAGATGCAATAATAATTTCTATATAAACCCCAAGGATTATGTATTATAAAGCATATAATAATAGCTCCCTCCCCATAGTAAACATAGTAAACTTAATAGGAATTAATAGACTGCTTCATTGTCACTTCTCAACTTCCATTACCAAATTCACTATAAAACTAAATTTTATATCTTTAAGAAAACTCAATCAATATCATGTCTAAGTAATGCTGTTATTTTATGTAACTTCAAACCAGCAATAAATATCTTTTGATTTTTTTTATTTGCTAAGTGTTTGAAATCAGGTAGAATGTTGGTAGTAAAGCAACTAGTTGACAGCTTCCATTTTATTCTTAGGATTTCTTAAACCTTCTAACTCAGTACCTCCAGGAATTTTTTTTACAAAGATATTTCTAGCTACATTCTTACTTTTTTTTCAACTAATGAAAATGACATAATGACAAGATAACATGTATTATTTATAAATGAATAAGAAAACAAACTTTGTCTTTGGCATAAATGATTTCTGCTTTAATATAAGAAAGAATTTTGTGCAGCAAAGATTTAATAATAATAATGAGATGAGTTACTGAAAAAGGTGCTGAATTATCCTTTCTTTTTAATAGAGTTTAGTTTTCATATTTATTACTTAGAATTTGTCTAACTATGGGTGGGGATGTGGAGAAAAAGCAGGTTTACTAGTCTCTAAATCAGAACTATGTTTTAATTCAATGATAGACACTCATTTATCAAAACCTCTAGGAAGTTGGACTCTCATAAAAATAAAGTTTGTCCTGGATCAAGTTAACTTAAATAAAAATTGAGTAGATCAATCAGATTCCAAATTAATAATTTATTACACTCCTTTTTAAATATGTTCAGAGATGAGGAGTAAAAGGAGGATTATCTGTTAAGCTAAAAAACTGTAATAAAGCACACTAAAATAATTCTAGTCTCACATTTAAAAGTCTGTCCTTAATGATAATAAAAGAAAAAATATGAGTGGGATTGAAATTGTACTATATGAAACCAATATCAAATTCAGAAAAAGGGAATTCCAGATTCACTTGTAATTTGGATAATTATGTACAGTGGACTTTATTTCTGTAATTATTCTATGGATAATTCTAATCTTAGTCATCTCCAGTCATTAAGATATTCACTGAAAATATTTAACATTTAAAATCACTGGAGTGGTATTCCTGGTATTCTCTTTGTCTTTAGCCAGTCTATTTTCAGGGTGTGTGTGTGTGTGTGTGTGTTTTCAACTATATCAATCATGTGAAGATAACAAAATTGTATGCTCCACTCAAAACCCACTTAATTTCTCACCTAACCATTGAGTCAATGATAAATGATGAAATCCAGTTCAGTTATGACTTTTTGATGTCTGTTTTGTTAGCAGGCTTCTCTCAGCTCAAAAGCATTCTCTCTTATGTGTGCTTTTATCCAAATTAGTTAAACCTATTTAGGTTCACATCCCTTTTTAAAATTATGATGAAGAAAAAAAAAATTATGATGAAACTATGGACATGTTTCTTTCAAAAATGCTCATAACACAGGTTAAATCTCCACACAATCTCAACTGGCATGTCACATTTAAAAATGAAATAGACAGGTGAGATGAAAGTGGTGAGTCTAAAGCACAAATCAGTAAATGTCCATCTGATTTTTGCCATGTGAGAATGTGGGATCATCACTTTAGTCCTTTTGCTCTAAGAGAAAATAGAAATTCAGATATCTATAAATCTCCAGATTTTTAAATGCCCATAGCTAATTCATTTCTATAACATAGGATAGGCCAAACAAACATATTTAAGAACTCAGTGTAGCCAGCATGCCTTCACCTATGCAATCCCTCCCAGGGGACTCCAGGTTAAGACCCCTTATCTAAGCAATAGAATTGCTGCAATCATTCCTACAATAGCCATTTCCACCTGCCTCAGGGAGCGTGGGGAACTGGCAGCAACAGGTTTCTGTTCAGTTTCTTGACGGTGATATGTAAGGATTCTTCTAATCATATGGATTCTCTCATAATTTCACATACACAACCCAGTATTTCAGACATGTTCTGTTCCCACAGGTTCTCTCATCCTTCCTCAAATATGTTCCAAATTCCCAGGGCACACACACCATACATATTTATTTATAACTTATCATTTCCAGGCTCTAGGCACTGGAGATACAATGACAATAAACACATCCCTTCCCTTGCAGGCAACCACAGCCTCGTAGGACTAGAGACATATAAAGAATTCATTGTATGATGACAGTGATTCTGTAATAGATTACATAGCAAGGTACTACAGAAACATGAAAAAGAGAGAGGGCAATTCTACATGGGAATTCATGGAAGATTTCACAGAAGAGCAAATCCTAGGGGAAAAGTCACCAAGCAGAGAAGGCTAGGGACATGCTCCAGACTGAGGGAGGAAATGTGTGATGGCAAAGAGCAGGGAAACAGCACAGGGCAATAGTGCTTTGGAAAGCAGAGAGAAGCTTTGACTAGAGTGAAGACACAGGACTGTAGCTACAGAGTCAGGTGGAGGCCTTCAGTGATGCCATCCTAAAGAGTTGAGTTTTTTTCTGTTGAAGATGGTTAGAAATAGAGTAGTGAAATTATGACTTCAAGATATTCTAATATGACTCCACTAGAGGCCAGGTACATGACATTCATGCGGGGTGGGGGGGAGGTTCCTCAGCTCAGCTTGCACTCTCTCACCATCCAGGACCCCTTGGGGGGTGTCTGACTGCCAGTTTAGGCTCGCAATCCAGGACCGCTGGCTCCTAACTGCTTGCCTGCCTGACTGCCTGATCGCCCCTAACCATTCTGCCTGCCTACCTGATCACACCTAACCACTCTGCCTGCCTGCCTGATCACCCCTAACCACCTCAGCCTCAGCCCCCACCGCAGCGGCTTCGTCCGGAAGGACGTCAGGAATGATGTCCGGAAGGTCATTCGGCTGTCCGGTCTAATTAGCATATTACGCTTTTATTATTATAGATAGGTCCAATTTCTTCCTGGCAGGTAGGCACACTGGTGGCCCATCTGTGTACACCGACATATGTATAAGCAGCTTGGCCCCACACCCTGTGAAGTTTTATTCCCCAGAGCCTCCTCTCAGGACAATGGGACCAACATAGCAGCAAAATGCATTTTCAGATTAAAAAGAATTAAGGAAGGGAAAAAAATAAAAGTAAAAACAGGTGCATTTGCTGTCAGGGAGGGAAGAAAGGAATAAGTTAAGCTAGTTCACATGGAGAGACATTTGAACTGGAACTCAAGAACTGGCTTCCTACACAGAGAGACACGAGAACCTGAGCTCCTTCGCTCTGCCTGATTACTTCTGCAATAACTTGTTAGTTTTATTTAGGAATCTCTCTAGCTGGGGCTGGAGTCTCTTATATCTGTCAAGTACCAGCACTGTATAAATGAAATAGCATTATAAAACAACAGACAGATATCTGCACCTATGCATATTAATGATGTGCTAACATCTCGTTATGGTTCAGAATTCATAACGAGCTTTCTCTCTGCCAAGTGCACGGTGGCATAGTATTGGTAACATGTGTGTAATCATACCTTAAAAATAAATGCAGTCCATTAATCAAATACGACCCAAGGTAGCAGGGAAAAGAAATCTTGAAAATGTGATTTTTATTTTATTGCTTGCCCCTCCATGCAAGTTTTGGCTCCCTGCCGGCCACTGATGGAGAGCTATTCTATGTGACAAGGGGCTTAAAGCGGATTGTAAGGGAACCGGCTGTTTTTCTTCAGTCCCTTTAAGAAAAAAATAAATAAAACCATGAGCACAACACTTAAAAAGTCAACTGAGTTAGAGTCTTTCTACCTTGTACTTAGCTGTGTAGTAATACAGGAGTGGGCAAAAGTGGGCTAATAATAATAATAAATAGTACAATAATTAATAAATACATAATAATACAATAATAAAATCTGTGTTTCCCATACTCACAACTGTAAACCTAGTTCTGCCCATCCCTGAAGAACCCAAATCCTTGTCTAAGAGAGAGAATGTGTTAGGGACAAAGAGGACATGAGATCACTGCAAGAGGTAAGATCATTCCTTGAGTCCCATTCACACCTGAAGGCCTGAGAATTGCCCCGCCCGGCCAGGTCATGCTTTTCTGCTGCACTTCCAAAAGCATGGATCTTCCTCATGATTTTTTTTTTTTTACCTCTATGCAATGGAAGTAGCCAATTCAGAAACCCTAATGCTTTCTGAATGTTTCCTACAAAATCATAGCTAGTTGATATCTAGGCTGGTGTTTACAATAAACCATATTCTATTAGACAGGGTTACTGTAGCCTCACCAAATTTGCTTGAAATTTGTATTTTAAGGAGACTGAACAGGTCTAAAAGGAAAAATGCATAATGACATAAACTTAAGTTTTCCACCTGCTTGCTTTCAGTTTAATTCTAAGAAATGAAATTGCAATAAAAAACATAATATTAATATTGTACAATGCAATCATATTATATATAACTAGTGGTCTAGTGCACGAAATTTGTGCATGGGGGGGGTGAGGTGTCCCTCAGCCCGGCCTGACCCTCTCCAATCTGCTGGTTTAGGCCTGATCCTGAACCGGCAGTCAGACATCCCTCTCACAATCTGGGACCACTGGCTCCTAACTGCTCACCTGCCTGCCTGCCTGATTGCCCCTAACCACTCTGCCTGCTGGCCTGATCACCCCCAACTGCCCCCCCCTTTAGGCCTGATTACCCCTACCTGCCCCCCCTGCCAGCCTGCTTACCATATTACGCTTTTATTATTATAGACTAGAGGCCCGGTGCATGAAATTCATGCATGGGGGGTGGGGGGTCCCCTCAGCCCAGCCTGCACCCTCTTGGGGGATAGAGTCAGACATCCCTCTCACAATCCGGGACCTCTGGCTCCTAACTGCCTCCTGCCAGTGTGATCACCCCTAACTTCCTCTGCCTGCCAGCCTGATTGCCCCTAATTGCCCCCCTCTGCCAGCCTGATTGCCCCCAACTGCCATCCTCTGCCAGCCTGATTGCCTCTAACCTCCTCTGTCTCAGCCCCGCCACCACAGCTTTGTCTGGAAGGACATCCAGAAGGTCTCCTGGAAGGTCTCCCGGTCTAATTAGCATATTACCCTTTTATTAGTATAGATGTCATAATATACAGTACATTTTTATGTAATTATATATTACACTAGAGGCCCAGTGCACAAAATCTGTGTGGAGGGGGTCCCTTAGCCCGGCCTGCACCCTCTCGCAATCTAGGACTCCTTGGGGGATGTCTGACTGCCAGTTTAGGCCTGATCCCACCCTTATCAACTTGCCTGCCTGCCTGCCTGATCACCCCTAACCACTCTGCCTGCCTGCCTGATCGCCCCTAATCACTCACCTGCCTGCCTGGTTGCCCCTAACTGCCTCTGCCTCAGCCCCTGCCACCGCGGCTTCATCCAGAATGACGTCCAGAAGGTTGATTGGCTGTCCGGTCTAATTAGCATATTATGCTTTTATTATTATAGATAATTATTGGTACATTAAAGTACACACCTCTTAGTAACTGATAGAATAAACAGACAAAAACAGTAAGGATACAGGAGACTAGACAACAAGATTAACAAATCTGAACTGAAAGGCACGAGAGTACTGTATCCAACAAATGCAATTTATACATCCTTTTCAAAACATGGAATATTTTTACCAAATGTAATCATATGGTTGGCCATGAAGTAGACTTCACTACATTTCAAAGAATTTTAATCATTCAGAATATATTATTTTAACACAGTAGACTTATGGTAGAAATCATTAAGAAAAAAATAACTTTATAAAACCCAAATATTTTAAAAATAAACCAGGCACATATAAGTAATTGATGAGTCAAATAAAAACTTACAATGGAAATTAACATATATTTTGGGCTATAGTGACAATAGTGTATACAAGACAGCTTATAGCCTTTTTTTATACTTACTAGGAAAGTGGAAATGTAATTATATAAATATCAATCTCAAAAAGTTAAAAAAAACAGCAAATTATAAATGAAAATAAAAAGATGGAAATAATAAGCTAAGAGTAGAAGTTAAAATACAAAACAAATTTGCAATAGAGAAAAATCAACAAGCCAAAAATTAGTATTTTGAAAAATAAACCTATGAAAGATAAATAAAATTCATAAGTCTCAGGAAGATTGATCAAGAAAAAGAAAGTAAAAATTATTAGTATCAAATATTTTAAAGTTACATCATATATACCTTACAGAAAGCAAAGATAATTATAAGTATATTAAACATATTATGCCAACATTTAATAATTTAGATGAAATGGATGCAGTCCTAGAAAACATACATTACCAAAACTACTGACACAAGAAGAAATATAAAATCTGAATATATATATATATATACA